GACACACACAGACACATATAAACAGACACACACATACACATACATACACATAAAAACAGACAGGCACACATACATACATACATACAGATAGACATAGACACATACAGACACACACACACAGACACATACATACACACACGACACATACATACTCACACAAAACATACATACAAAGACACATACATACAAACAGACAGGAACACATGCATAAGGACAAAACACACATACATACAAACAAACAGACAAACAGGCCCACATACATACATACAGACAGACAAACATACATACATACATACAAACAGACAGGCACACATACATACAAACAGACACACACATACACATACACACACATGCATACATAAAAACAGACAGGCACACATACATACATACATACATACAGATAGACATAGACACATACAGACAGACACACACACATACATACAGACAGACACACACGTGCATTTGGCCATAATCTTTTGTTTAACAAATGTTTTGTCGAACGACCGACCACCCAGCACTGGAGTGTTGCACCAATTAACCTTATTGACCTGTGCCAACTGCAAACACCTCAACATTCTAATGGTTTATTAGGGTGGTCGCCGTTCGTTTGTACGAACACGTGGCAGCGGCCATTTTGTTTAGTCGAACGCACTCAGCTGTGTTTTTTCTCGTCGACCACGTGGAACTGATTTTGGCTACCTTTTCCCACAAACACCGCTGAACTTCCACCTTCAGTGCGTTCGACTAGAAACATACGAACAGTGAGCTAATTTGTGGGTTTCTTCATACGAACAATCTACATCCAATGAGTGGAGGCACGAACCGCATTTTACAGCTAATACAACAGGAAAATAGACCGACCACAGGGACTGAAATTGTGGAACCATTTTGGGCATACAAGCTTGCAAATAGTCGGTCATATCCACATTTTTACTAACTTCTGAACCCCTTGTTCAATTCGTGCCATTTTTGGATATGTTGTTCCCATGAATGGATTGATTATGAAAATGTAACTTTTGTTGAAATCCCATGCATAGTTTTGAAGTTATAATAAACGTGAAAAAGTATATTTTTTAGCTTGGAGGTAGTTGAGCTGATACAAAGATTAACTCAATTATCTCCCAAGCAGATGGGAGGAATGCACTGTAATTACTGGGTGTGTTTCTATTCTAACATTGTGCCTGATTGGCTGCTGTACTTGCATTGTTGGTGTCCCACAAGGTCCAGTGGGTGGTGACAATATTGAAAAATCCTGCATAAAAGCAGCAATAAATGCTCAGTTGAGTTAGTTCCACTTCACCCATCAAAACATAGCTTTGTCTCGTTATTGAAAGGGAATTTCACTTATTTGTTCAGCCAGTTTTTGACAGTACATGGTGTCTTGCAATACTTCACACATGGTCTAAACTCTTTATAAAAATGCAAACGTGCTCATTTTCTCACATTAAGTATGAAGTAGCTTACTGAAAATGGCAACAAAATGTAAAAAAAAATTTGCATTTGAGCATAATGCTGATATATAGTTAATAGAGTTACACATCACCTATTTTTCAAAGCAAAAGTGTTTAAAACTATTATAGCAATGTTTATTAATCTCTGGAGTGTGTATGCAATGCTGACAGTGAAATAGTAGAGTCCATTTACTTATCCCTCCCTGACGGTTTTGAAGCATGGGGTTAGATTACATTTTTAGCAAACCTGCAGGCATTATGTCAGTAACTAGGGACTTCGGAAGTCTTCTTTCTTCTGCCCCAAACAAGGCCAAGCAAACTATATTAGTACTCGTCATAACTGGTAAATACAAAAAACTCAATTAACACACAAACAATACAAAAATAAAAAAAAGTTATAATGCAAAAAAAATAATACATTTTTACCCATTTAGAGCTCCATATAAACTGAGAATTCAACTCAGGATAGACCTTTGTTGAGACCTTTCCACTCTTTGAATGTCAGTCAGATTACTATAATGATTGATTTAGAAGCTCTGATCAATGGCCGTGCCTCTATTCTACACACTTTACCGTGCAAGTCTTGCAAGAGGTGAAATTTGACCATCATGGCACCGTTATTGGTTGCTTTCTAACCCAACAGTGAAGGGATGCCAGTAAATAAAATCAATTTAAAAAAAACTATAAAAAAATTATACTTAACATTTGAAGTCTTCTTTCAGCCCTCCACAATGACCAAATAAACATCATATTCTAACACAATAGTAAAAATAATTTAGTCCTGTATCTAAATACATTGACAAAACTCCAACCAATTGCAGTAAAAAAATCCAGCATGTTTGGAAGACACTATGCACATATTGCAGTTTTGAAGGATACAGCCTTGGGGGTGATAGGCTCCTTGTGACATGTGATGTGAGTTCACTGTCTGGAAATAATCCACACAACAAGAGCATTAAAGCAGTATAACATTTAAAAAAAATTAAAAAGATTTTAAAGAGCAATACATTCATTTTAATCTTGAGATCAATACTTATTCTGGTTTATAGATTGTTTCTACTTATGAAAATGTAGAACAGCAATGGGCATCAAGTTCGCACATTACTATAAAAACCTATTTCTGTCTTTCTGGGAGAAACTATTCATCTTCCAGCAACATGGCTGGTGTGCAAGTTTGGTGTAATATTGCTGCTTTAAAGATTACCTACTTATCATTTTGAAGGATCTTTTCTTGACTAAATGATTGGAGCATCAAGCTTTCCTCCACTTTCAGTCTTTCAGAAATCCTTTTATTTGATTTGAATACATGTATTAAAGAATTAGGGTTAAAAACTCACTTACTTTAAGTCTGCGGATGCTAACAGTTATATTGGAAAACATAGTTGCCATTATGCTCCCTGGTTAATAAATCCTGATAAGGGACAATTTCTCAGAGTAAGGAGAGATTGCACAGAAAAACTTGAATATTTTGAACAGTTTGACAAATTAGAAAACTATTTTTAGAAAAGAAGTATGAAAAATTAAGTTGGGATGTCTCAATAAAACAAGTAAAAAATATTGAACTCGAAGAACTATTAAAATACAAAGGGAAAAGAGTAAGGAAACAATGTGAAGGAGTCCCTTTTAGCTGAAATTTCAAAAAGAGAAATTTCAAAATGAAAAAAAAAATTGAGAGAGGAGGGTGAACAAATAGGTAACCTATTAACCTATTAAGTACTGAAAAAAACACAAAGATAAATAAATAAAATACACCCTACTCTATATATAATACACACACAAATTGCAACAGTGTATCATATAATTGCAGAAAAAAGTTGCAACATACAAAATATGTATTAGAGATAATAAGTCTCTGGGACCTCAATTTGAATCAAAAATAGTCCTTAGAAAAGTTCATTAATCCACAATCCTGGCTTTCTATCCAACAATTCCAGTGGAGTCCAGTATATGTACTAAAAAATGAAATATAGAAGGGTATTTTCTCTTAAAAAATTCCTTTGCCAGTGTTTCTTGATCTGATGAAAAAGGACATGTCATTAACCAGTATTCTACCAGAGAAACCGAGGATCAACGTTAGGGGTGCACCAAATATAAAGACAAAATTAACAAACAGCCATTTGAAACCTCAAAGAGAAGGAAGTGAAATATAAAAAGTTATTTTCTTTTAAAAAATTCCTTTTATTAAACAAACATTAAAATATATAGTGGATTTAGTTGAAAGGAGTATAAGGCTCTCTGAAATTGCATATAAAAACAGATAGTCGTTTAAGTGCATACCTTGACTGTTATGCTCGGGGTCCCGAGTATCTGCAAGTGATGCATGCCTTAGTATTGACTTTGACAGTATCCTGTGCAGGCTGGATGCCAGTAGTGGGAGTCATGTCCTTCCAGACGCGTTCCTCCGCTGTGGCGGCTTTTTCAATGTATCTGACTTTGCTCTATAGTTATCAAAAGTATATATTGATACATGGGGGATGTTAACATACATTTTTGATTAATGTAAATCCTTCAATTATTCAGAAATTAACATGCATTTATGATTGAGAAACAACTAAGCTAGATGTGTTGGCATGGTAACTCCCGCTCATATTAATTTTACAAACTTCACTGTATTAAGTCCCAAAAATAATAAAAGTGATACAAAGTGCAGATGCTATGCATCTTTTATGACTTAAACATAAATAAAATGACATACAAAGGCTTTATTAACTTAAGCTGTTCATTTTCCTTTCTGTGTAAAAAGCTTGCAAAACATAATCCCTATAAGGTAATAACTGGCAAATAAGAAATCTTTGCCAAATATTGTAAAAAATATTGAAATAGTGAAAGATTGTGTATTAATTAAAATAATTTTTTTTTAAATAGTTCAAAAGTTATTTTAAAAAGTTTTAAAAAAGGGGAGGGATGCTTCTCATTTTTGTGTATTTTTATATTTTTATAATGCTGTAGCCTAAGTCATTGTTGTAATCAGCCTTAAGCAAATATCTAGGGAGATCATCCTAAAAAATTTCATAGTTCGAATTCTACGTTTAACCCTTTTGGATGCAAGGAATCCATTTTATAAATCCATTGCATTTCTGCTATTCCCAGTTGTTTCATATGGTCTCCTCCTCTCCAGTTCTTTTTCACTTTACAAATTACCTTAAAGGTTAGGAGACTCCTGTCTAAGTTATGAAAATTCCTGAAGTGGTCCGACACAGAGTGTTGCATAAATCCTTTTTTGATATTTAGCATGTGCTCCCTCACTTATTATCATACATACTTTGTACATATTATCAAACTGTTGCAACTTTTTATGCAATTATATGATACACTGTTGCAATGTTATACTGCTAGACATAGGCGTGCGCAGCCTATTGCATTAGGGTGTGCACCCTTAAGCACAAGCCGCATATATATATGTATGTGTATATATATATATATATATATATATATATATATATATACACACATACACACACTGCTGTGTGTGTGTGTGTGTGTGCTGTGTGAGGGTGCTGTTAGTGTGATGTGTGTGACGATGCTGGTAGTGTGCTATGTGGGTGAGGGTGTTTGTGTGTGCGTGCTTGTGAGAATGCGGTTAATGTACTGTGTGTGAGGGTGCTGTTTGTGTGTGTGTGCGCTTGTGAGGGTGCTGTTAATGTACTGTGTGTGAGGGTGCTGTTTCTGTGTGAGGGTACTGGTAGTGTGCTGTGTGTGTGTTTGTTAGGGTCCTGTTTGTGTTTGTGAGGGTACTGTTAAGTGTGCTGTGTGTGTGTGAGGGTGCTGTTTGTGTGCTGTGTGTGAGGGTGCTGTGTGTGTTTGTGAGGGTGCTGTATGTGTGTGTGGGTGCTGTATGTGTGGTGCTGTATGTGTGGTGCTGTGTATGTCTGTGGGTGCTGTGTATGTATGTGGGTGCTGTATGTGTGTGGGTGCTGTGTATGTCTGTGGGTGCTGTGTATGTCTGTGGGTGCTGTGTATGTTTGTGGGTGCTGTATGTCTGTGGGTGCTGAATGTATGTTGTTGCGGAATGTGTGTGGGTGCTGTGTATGTCTGTGGGTGCTGTGTATGTCTATGGGTGCTGGATGTCTGTGGGTGCTGTGTATGTCTGTGGGTGCTGTGTATGTCTGTGGGTGCTGTATGTGTGTGGGTGCTGTGTGGGTGCTGAATGTGTGTGGGTGCTGAATGTGTGTGGGTGCTGTGTGTGTGGGTGCTGAATGTGTGTGGGTGCTGTATGTGTGGGTGCTGTATGTGTGGGTGCTGTATGTGTGTGGGTGGGTGATTGTGGGGGTGGAGGTGGGGGTACATTATTTGCTATCCCCCCTCCCTTCTTACCTTTTGTAGGGAGGGGGGATCGTGCTGCTGCTTCCTTCCCTGGTGGTCCAGTGGAGGAGGGGATCCTTGCTGCTGTGATCCCTGGTGGTCCAGTGGAGAGTGAACTCTAGCCCCCTGTGGGGCTAGAGTTCACTCTCGCGAGATTTGAGCGTTGCCGTGGCAACGCTCATATCTCGCGAGAGGAACCCGGCGGAGCTGCCGGCAAGAGCTCCGCCGGGTCCTCTCCTGCCTCCCTCCCTGCATGTGGGTCAGTGGGGAGGGAGGCTGAGAGCAGAGCTGGCGATCGGATAGCGCCGGCTCTGCATGAGCCGACAGGGGAAATCCTGAGATCTCCCCTGCCGGTCTCAATATGCATAGGCGTGCCGCGGGGATTAGGGTGTGCCCAGGCACACCCGGCACACCCCGTGCGCACGCCTATGCTGCTAGAGCATACCAATTTGTGTGTGTATTATATAGAGAGCGAGTAGGGTGTATCTTGTTTATTTATCTTCGTGTCATCAAATAATTTGGATAGCTGTCAAAGATTACGCATTGTCTGTTCATAGTGCATTGCATAAATTAGGACTAAGCAGAGATCAGAAAGAGGACAAGAAGAGTTGTGGTTTGGTAAGTTCCTTATTCACTAAGGTATTTATATATTATAAAAGAGCAGATTTAGGCAAAAATTATACACATTAGGAATAGGAATAGGAAGGGCAGGGGGGAATAGAGCAGAACACTTTAATCTCACCCATGTTTCAAGCCCCTTATCATCTATTCTAAGTGTTGCTACTTGAATTCCACCCATTAGCTGCTTGGGGCACAACCTCTGATGGTCAATTGTAGTCTTGCCAGTTGGGTTCTGTACATTACTCTTTACTGCTCATCTGTTCCTCTTGCTGAAGTCCTGTCAGGGGCATAACAACTAAGGTACAGTTGTCATATATAATATTCAAATGTTCCATAGTTTTTATTTGAAATATATTTGCAGATTTTCACAAATTACATAAACTAGTCATTTCTACTTCTTTACCATAAATGTTATCCACACTGGTTTAAAATAATTGATCACAACTTATTTGTTATTTGAAGAAAATAATAGATGAAGCTAAACCTAAATAGAACATAAAATATGTAGTACAAATAAATTGAATAATACCACTTAGTAATTTGAAAGTAATTGCAGGAACCCGTCAGCACTTCATGAACACCTGCAGTTCCTGTTTTCTTGGATTGAATTGTAAGATTTCATTGACTCTGCATGTATCCATCTTACATACTGAGTTAGACCTACTATAGAAATCTACTGCATAACATTGCAGAATATAATTAAAACAAACAGCGGCTAATTATATTGAGAAATTTGCATTAAATGTTTTAAAATTACAGTTCTTTTCTAAATAGCATACTGTCATGCAGTGCTTAGACTAAATTAATTAGGCAAAATATTTTCGTACTTTTTCTAAGATATGGCGGGTAAAACTATAACTTTAATTACAAGTGTTTATTTTATATTTGTGTATTAGTTAGATATAACCTAAAAGGATTTTTTTTTCTCGCATGTAGTTGCTACTTATTTTTTTTACGTGCATTAAAAAAAATTACATTTATTATATTATTTTATGTTGCGAACAAGTCAAGTGTTTTGTTCTGCTCAAGTTTATTTCAAGTTTATAGAAAATGAATCTGGTGATTTTACTTAATGTGCTTTTGTCACCTTTGTGATTTTTGTCTTCTTAAATTTAATTAAACAAGATTGCCTGTGTAAGTATTATTGTTATATTAATAGTTTTATATTTTTGAAGATGTTTATTTTTCGTAAGTCAAGGACCCTTTTATCTAATTAAATAATTGTGACTAATGTCTTTTCGTGAATGCTGCGCTGTTAAATGTCCTTCTTTGTTCTCAATTGTCCTCTATTCAATTCATCTTCTAAGGCTGCCAGGACAAAATATTTTTAAGAGATGGCTTCCTCCGTAAATATAAAAAAAAAAAGTTAATTTTATTATTATTAACAATAGCATTTATATATTGTCAATTTATTCCACAGAACGTTACAAATATATGAAAGGATGAATTTAACAACAAATAAGGCAAACTATGACAAATATTGACAGGAACACTAAGGTGATGAGAACTCTGTTAGGACAGGTTTACAATCTAGAGGAGGTATGGAATAAAAACACAATAGGAAGGGCAGGGGGGAATAGCTACCACGTGTCAAGATGCGGCAGTTGTAGAATTGGAAGATGAGAGTGAAGTACAGCGTGGACCCACTAATTAAGTTGAAAGTAAAAGATATAGGTATGGCTTGGGAGGTCCTAGGCTACTATAGGTTTTAAGAGACTTCTCAAAGGATTGAAGACTGGGGAAGAGTCTTATGAGAAAAGACACAGACATACAGTTATAATCAAAATAATTCAACCACCATTGAAAATCAAGTTTATTGTAAAAATGTACAGACGTTCGGCTGTTTACAGTGAACAAAGCAAACAAAAACAATTGAAATAGCCAGGGCCAGACTGGGAAAAATATCTGGCCCGGGCATTTTTTAACCACAGCGGCCCACTGTAAAGGGGGCGGGGCCAGATAGGGTGTGTTTTGTCATCCCCAATGACAAGCATGCCCCATCTCAAAGTGAGCATGTTGGTTCAATGCTCTTCCAGGGCAGACCATGCGCAGAGCTCTGCTGAAGAGCTCTAACCTGAGAAAAAGGCCCTGTATTTGTTCTGCACAGTGCAAGGAAATTTAATCCCATGCTTGCGTTGTGTTTGCTTGAAACTTGTCTCAGGGGTTTCCATAAATGGGATACTCACTGTATCCCATTTATGGAGACACTATGTAATTGCTAACAAGGAATCTAGTGTGTGCATAGGGGATCCAGAGTGTGTATGTCAGAAATGTAGTGTGTGTAGGGGATCTAGTATGTGTTTGAATGACCCAGAATGTGTATAGGAGATCCAGTGAGTGTGTGTGTGTAGAAGATTAAGAGTGTATATAGAGATCTAGTGTGTGTATAGCTGTAGATGATCCAGAGTTGGGTAACATCTAGTGTTTGTCTGGAATATAATGTGTTTAGGGGTGTAGTATGTGTGTGAGGGGTTCTGTAGTATATATACATTTATGTTTGGAAGTATTGTGTGTGTGTGTGTGTGTGTGTGTGTGAGTGGTGCAGCGTGTTTGGGGGCTTCTGTGTGTATATATGTGAGGTGTGTAGTGTGTATGTGTGAGGGGTGTAGTGTGCATTTGTGAGAAGTATAGCGTGTGTGTTTGAGGGTGCTGTGTGTATGAGGTTTGCTGTGTGAGTGAGTGAGGGTGATGTGTGAGGGGGATGTGTTTGTGTGTGTGAGGGTGCTGTGTGTGTGTGTGTGGGTGCAGTATGTGTGTATGAGGGTGTTGTGTGTGTGAGGGTGCTGTGTGTGTGAGGGTGCTGTATGAGGGTGATGTGTGTGTGAGTGAGGTGCACTATATTAAATTTTTAATTTCTCTTACCTTAACAGCCACGATTGTTACTAAGTCACGCCGGGTAAGTTTACCCCGTATATAAACAACAGTAAAATGTAGTGGTGGTGAAGTAGGAACACTCACATTTGCAGGAGCCTGTGTATAAATAAAGCAGGTATGCTTTTAAGGCAGCATCACACCCTTATAATCTTTGGATTTTTTGGGTGTGGAGAAGATGATATTTGAACACAAGTGTTTAGAGCTGCTGCCATTCATACCTTGATTTTAGCACCTTGTTGTACACACAATCCTCCCATGAGGAGGTATAACTCACTTGGAACACTATTGGTTGTTTTATTCTTTTTACATTATCGGTGACCTGCCACAACGAAGTTCTGAATTCTGCACACCCCTACCGGTGTTCAGATCCGAATATACCATTCACAAAAGACTTCAAAGGATCAGTGTATCCACAGGCGGAGATCATACCAACCCAAGCGCAAATACTTGGAGCTAGTCGGAAGCTCCAACAAATTGTAAGTGCTTTTCTATATTGCTTTCACCAATTACAAGAAAATACTACATTGTATGTAATACTCTGTGATCATATTTTGCATATTTGCTGACTGTCACTTGGACCTGAGTATACACAAAAGGAACTGCTACTGCATCACTATCCTACACCAAACCAACCACCAGAAAGAAAAGACTCTGGGGGGTAGTTTCAGCTGGCTACATTTATTTTATTTCAGATTAGAGCTAGAACTCCTAACTGTTATTTTATTCAATCAGATTTCTGGTTGCTAGTATTATAAGTGCTGCCAGTTGTTTACTTGCTTTGTGTAGGTTAGGAAGGAAAATAAGGAAAAAATAAGTGGTTGGTAGGTAGGCATATAGGCATATCTGTTAGTAATTCTCTCACAGTGTCCGAGAGTGGTTTAATTACAGAGCAGTCCCCCCTTATTTGCATCATGGTGCCCTTTTCAATAACACGACTCAAACAAAATGCTCGTAAAGTGGGGTCAATTTTCTGAAGCCTGTCAGGCGTCAAGTATTAACCGATAATTTAACTTTCTATGTGATTCT